AAGGAAATTGGAGGGTGGGGGAGAAGAAGGAAATTGGAGGGGGGGAGAAGAAGGAAATTGGAGGGGGGAGAAGAAGGAAATTGGAGAGGGAGGGGGAGAAGAAGGAAATTGGAGAGGGGGGAGAAGAAGGAAATTGGAGGGGGGGAGAAGGAAATTGGAGGGGGTGGGGAGAAGAAGGAAATTGTAGAGGGGGAGGAAATTGACGGAGGGGGGGAGAAGGAAATTGACGGGGGAGGGGGAGGGGGAGAAGGAAATTGACGGGGGAAGGTGGAGAAGGAAATTGACGGCTGGGGGGAGATTGACATCCATCACACACACACAATCACACACAATGCACCCCTTGCACACAGAAAAACACACAATGCATTACACACACAGACACACATACACAAGCAATGCATCCCTTACACACACAGAAACACACAATGCATTCATTACACACACTCAATGCATCCCTTACAGACGCACACACTGCATCCCATACATACACAAACACACCTTGCAGCCCTTACACATACAAACACAGATTCACACAATGCATTCCTCACACACATCAGGACATCCCCTACACACTTCACCCCCTGTGAACAAACTCATTGGTGGAACATGAAGGTGGACCCTGGGACCCAGACCTTGAGCTGTGTAAAGGGCCCTCAAAAAAATGGAGCTGCTTCCCGTTCTCCCAGAACATTGATTTTTGTAACCGCAGTTACAAACCGCCTCCAGAGAGCCTGTTCTACACCAGACCAGTGGAGCCAGACTGCAGCTAGAGCCCATCATCATCCTCATCTGGTTGTAAGTAGGCAATCACATTAAAGAAACACTATAGTCCCCAGAACCAGTGCAGCTTAATGTAGTGGTTCTGGTGTCTATAGCCTGTCCCTGCAGGCCTATTAATGTAAACACAGCGGCACTGCAGCACTGGTGTTAGTTAACATGGCAGATCATATGGGTGGGGCATTGTGATGTCACATGGGGGTGGGGGGGTGGCAAACTTTACTTTTGCCTAGGACGGCAAAAATCCTTGCACCGGCCCTGCTCAGCAGCAGAGATATGTCGGACTACGAGCAGTCTGAGACTGTTAAACTGTTCTATAACAGATAAGCACTAAATGGAGTGTTTGTACCAGGGGCTCTAAGCACTGTAACCACTTCAATCAGATAATGTGGTTATAGTATCTAGAGTGTTATTTTATGTGATTTAAAAACTCATTTCATAGTGATTGAGTTTAGGGATGCAATAACCTTTACTAAAATGCTTGGAAAGCCTCTCAATAACTTGCATGCACAGGCAGCTTGTATCACCATTAGTACGGACTTAAAAGAAGTATACCAATGGTGGTTCCTCATTTATGCTCAGAATGGGCTAGCCTCTGTGCTTGTCTGTAAAAAGCAGCAGTTAATCATTATAAATACCAACAGCCAGTAGATCATTGCTAAAACTAATAGCAGGTTTCCATGATTTAGCCCTCCTTTAACGTCTGCACGCTACTCACGTCTGAGTCATACACAATTTAGAAAAATCACAATTATACTATAGAAATGTCCTAGGCACAGCAATAATTTTCTAGACTGCATCATTATGAGCAGACGACTTTGCACTTCTGTTCAATTAATGGCCACATTTGTACATTTCATGAGTAGCCTAGTTTATAAGTACTGCAGGACGTTTGCATTTTTACATTCATTTTTATAAAAATAGTCCCAATGTTCTATGAATGTATTCAGTTACATTCAGTATTGAATTAAGCCACATTGTAACATTCTATTTAGTTACAGATTCACACTCCGGCAACCGCTGTTGGATAACTCATGCAATAGCTCTAAGAGACATGAATGTAGCTCCGAGCTTCAAAAGGTATTTTGTTTATATCATTACACCACTTATAGATTTATAAAGACAGAGAGACGCTGAAATGAAGAGAGTTATTATCATCAGAGAGGAGGAGGAGTTGATACCACTTCACAGATCACTGGGAGAGCCTCATTAATAGGTCAGTTTGGAGCAGGAGCACACTCAACTGGGAGGACAAGAACAAATGATATAGGCCACGAGAGGAAAGACTAAAATAGTACATGGTTTATATCACATGTATATACAAAATGCACAGTCTAAAGAAGGAGGAAGACAGGAGAAGGATGTTGGTTAAAAGAGAAGTGAGTATGAAAGGAGATAGTAAAAAAAGGACAACTGAGGACATTAAAGATGACGTGGGAAGCAGAATTTGAGATAAAAAGCATATGGTGCATATACAGAGGATGTAGAGATACGTATAGGTAGCTAACAGAGGCAAAATTAATGACTGAGAGGGAACAGAGCAAAATGGAAGACTTAAGAAGGAAGTTAAAAATTAGTAAGAGTAGATATCATGTGAATAATGGTTTGTGACTATCTTTTTGCCAGATTGCAGCCAAAACCCTCACCCTTCCAGCACTCAGACCATCCTATTGGAACAGCTTACCATATGTTATGATGCATATTTATAAAAGCTGGAGAGTATACATGGTAGAACTAATTCATATGTGCTGGAAGTTGTGAAGTTAAGGGGAGTCAGGGGGTTCGAGAGAGATGAATTGCACTTTATAAAAGCATTATAGAGCTGAATAAATTATATCAGTAGTTTTAGGTAATTATAGTAAGAAATATAGTAACCTATTCAAAGCAGCCATATACAGAGCTGTTGCATACTTCTAACACTGGTAATTGGAATGTAGCCCATGGATCAGCACAGCTAGGGGAGTGGGCCATGACAGAGCCAGGAGGTAGGCATAACAGCCACAGGAAGTCTGAGTGACAGCTAGCATGCTGGGTGGGGCGGAGCCACGATGGAAGTATTTATACTGGCCATTTTATGAAGTGGCCATTTTAACTAAACCTAAACTTACCTGTCAGCTGTTCCTCCCACCCTCCCTGAATTTGGTTAGGTGAGATAATTTTCCCATTTTTTCACAGCGGTGGGTAATGGCCAGGTTAAATCAGGGGGTAAATGGAGGAGGAAGTGGGCATCCTGAGGTTTAGTGTGGATTAGGCAATGTTGCACGGGGTTGGTAGGTTCGAGCCTGGCTCTGAACCTGGGGGTGTGGTGGTGTCTTGGTACACCCTGCACTGGAACTTGTGGGTAACGGTGTCTTGGTACACCCCTACAATTGATCTGGTGGGTAGCGGTGTCTCGGTACACCCCTACAATTTAATCTGGTGGAAATGTGGTCATATTGGACGGCCAGTTTCTGTGTTAATATGTTATTTTGATTGTTATCTATTGTTATTATAGTGGGGTCATTGCCAGGGGTATGTTATGTATATGGGGGGATGTTGATTTTAATACGATTTGTTGGCAATGACCCCATTTGTTATTCCTTAATTATTTAATTAATAATTAATAAAGCTGTGGGCTAATATTTCCAACAGTATAACCTGTGTCCGTGTCTTAATGGGGGTTTGGGTAAGGTTAGCGCATATGCTGGCAAATCTGATTGTGCGCCTGTCATGCACACACACCCTTAACTCTTGACACCACCACTAGCCTCAATGTGGAGCAAAAAAAAGGGGGAAAGTGGTTTGTGTTTGTCTTACGGAACCTGTTCTATTTAATAAAATGCACAGCATATAACAGCATGCGCAGATAACAGAGTCAGAGCAGCTTCATAATCCAAGGAAGCTTGTATGTTTTATTAATCCTAGTGTAAGGAGATGTCTGCAGATATAATTACATGTATAGCACAGAGTTTACAAAATAAGTGAGACCTGGAACAAAATTCTCTCTTACAGGAAGATATGCAACCTCAGTCCCCCTTGAGTTCTTTAAAAGGCTAAAGGATTAACCCCTTAGTGACTTATGATGTGTCACAGTAGCTGTATGGAGGTCTCTCAAGGCAA